TGTTTTTTTTTTTTTTTTTTTTTTTTTTTTTATTGCCTTTGTAGGCAGACGGGCATACGGCCCACCTGATGGTGAGTGGTTACCGTCGCCCATGGACTTCAGCAATGCCAGGGGCAGAGCCAAGCCGCTGCCTACCGCTTAATACTCTCCACAAGCCTCGTTTGAAGAAGGACATGTCATAGCGCTTATAACCGGATCTTCTCAGTGGGTCGCGTTTCCGATCCGGTGGTAGATTCTGCGAAGCACGGCTCTTGCTAGGGTTCGTGTTAGCAACGTCGTCAGGTTTGAGCCCCGTGAGCTCACCTACTAGTTAAGGTTACGCTGGAATAGCCTCTCAAGGCTACCAGCTTAGGTAGAAAAAAAAAAGCCGATGTAGTGCATGCAGATAGCGGAGATGGTTTTGAGCTTAATGCTTCGCCGGTCTACAAAGCGGCATCTATATCAGGAGATTAACACTCTAATATAAATTATGATAATTATTCAAAATGGGTTAATGAAAAGTTATTGCTAAACTAATCTGAGAAGTCAGTTATTGTTATGGACAGCACTTCTTATCACAATACTCTAAGCAGCAAAATACCGACCTCTAATTACAGTAAAGGGGAAATGCAAAAGTGGCTGGCAGAGAACGGCATCTCATTTAATAATAGTTTAAAAATAGATGAACTAAATGATTCGATCAAAAAGATCAAGCACCGTTTTATAACATTTATAGCAACCACATTGTCAACATATACCTAGTTGTCCCAGAAAGAATGGATAATCCTGAAACACCTCATAGTAGAGCTATTGGGGAATCAAAATAAAAAATAACACATAGTTTTATAAAAAAAACGCATTTATAGAAAATCCAACTCAAAATAGAAAATAAATTTTAATAAACTTTATAGTGAGGGGTAGATCTCAGGGGTATTTAAAACTATGGGTTAGTCACCAATATCGAATTTCGAATTTTAATCTTCCTTTATCACAAACAATTTCAATTTTAAACAATAATTACATTTAGACGCGGGCGCACGCTATTCACACTCTAAACGGAAGCGCCCGGAACATAGATTATACACTGTTGAAAAGATCGACATAGATGCTAACTATGTATAGCGAGCGGGCATACGGCCGCGAGAGTGACGTACCGGTCGGTTTGCTACAACTTGAATTAAAAATAGTGTAAGAAAAAAATGATTTTATTGTAAAAAAAAGCATGAGGTGCATGATATCAATAGTTATAAATATTTTAAAATTTATAAAAAATAATAAAAGTAAAATTTATTATTATTAAAATTTATTTTCTATTTTTTAGTTGGATTTTTTATAACGAATTTTTTTTTTCAATTCATTCTTTGTTTTAAATTTTTCAAAAATATCATTTGAGTCAGTCGGTAATTTACCCGAGAAATAGGTGATTAGCACGCCTGGTAGTTTCCCTTCTTGGCCTTGCCACAGACACTCCGGGTCTCAGGAATACAAAAAAATCGCTAATGCTGATTATTCTAGTAAGGATAACGGATCAAACTGATTAAAATATTGAACTGTCATCGGTCCTTAATATGTATGAGTTAATCCGAGTTTTGAAAAGGGTCAAAATCATGTTCAAAGATTCCGTTACATACTAACATACGTATGAAGCTAATAAAAGCGTATTATAAAGAAAAAAAAATATTTCTTGTAGTACCCAAATTACGTATTAAAAAAAAACATTATTTTCCATACTACTGCGCGTTTCTGTAATATACAACAGCTACAAACATAATAAGTCCATAGGGTTTTTGGTGTTATAATATTCTACATGGACTATACCAGTGGATTGCCGTGTGGTGACGGCATTAGAATACTTTTGTCACCACCCCCATTACCATCCCAGGGGAGTCGTAAGAGGCGACAAAAGGGAAAGCATAACACACAATATTTACTAGTGTGAGAGGAGGAAAACTCGAAATTAAACCCTGTACCAACCCGTCTAGCCAGCGTGGTACCAGTAGGCTAATAAACCTCCAAAATGATTGCACACCGCAGAACCAGGCCCCTAGTCCCCGGCGGCCCCGCTAGTCCTGGTTACGGTAGCGGCCATGGTAACGGCGGGGCAAGGGGTGCTAAGAATCCCCGGCAGAGATCCGACTACCACCCCCCTTCACAACGACAACTGGCCCTGGTGACATACAACGTGCGCACTTTGAGGTTGGACGAGAAGCTAATAGAGCTGGAAGAAGAAATGAACAAGTTGCGCTGGGACGTTATTGGTTTATCGGAGATCCGAAGAGAGGGGGAGGATACGAAAACCTTACAGTCCGGCCACTTGTTCTACTACCGGGAGGGAGAACAGAAGTCCCAAGGTGGTGTTGGGTTTATCGTCCACAAATCTCTCATAAACAACATTGTGGCCATCGAAAGTGTGTCGAGTAGGGTAGTATACCTTGTCCTCAAAATCTCAAAGCGGTATTCGCTGAAGATTGTACAGGTATACGCCCCATCGACGTCACATCCAGACGATGAAGTGGAAGCTACGTATGAGGACATTAGTAGGGCCATACGTAACTCCCAATCACATTTTACCGTTGTTATGGGAGATTTCAATGCAAAACTGGGCCGTAGAGGCGATGATGAGTTGAAAGTGGGGCCATTTNGACGCCGGTACTGAAAGTCCTTCAGAAGCTCTTCAATTCCTCTTTGCTCGATGGAAAACCGCCACAGGCATGGAATAGGGGTGTTGTGATCCTGTTCTTCAAAAAAGGTGACAAAACCTTATTGAAGAACTACAGGCCCATAGCTCTGCTGAGCCATGTCTACAAGCTGTTCTCGAGAGTCATCACGAAGCGTCTCGAACGCAGGTTTGATGACTTCCAGCCTACCGAACAAGCCGGTTTCCGAAAAGGCTACAGTACCATAGACCACATACATACGCTGCGGCAGATTGTACAGAAGACCGAAGAGTACAATCGGCCATTATGCTTAGCGTTTGTGGACTATGAGAAAGCCTTTCATTCCGTCGAAACATGGGCGGTCCTTAGATCTCTCCAGCGGTGCCGTATTGACCACCGGCCGCAACTACTTCGCAGCCAGGTGTAAACAGGTAATATTTAGGTGTATTTATACGTTCATGACGTATGACGTAAACATGCGTGTTTTTTGTGTTAAATTAAAGCTAATTTTTTTTATATGGTGATACATTGCTGCCGGTGAACAAGTGGCCGCAAATTAAGGTTGGTAGCTATTAACCACTCGAAGTATTCGAGATAAAGTGAAAAAGAGTTAGCGCGCAACGCCATTTGTTAAAAGAGGATGGCGTGTGCCAGCTGTGCGAGTATTTGAAGCCATTGCGCATGCGTCAATAGGTAGAGTTCTCAGTCAGCGACGTTGTCGACACTTCAGCGACTTTGAAATATTTTTCTCATCATTAAATATAATAAAGAATAATATATTAAATGAAATATCCTAATATTTTGTATCAATATTATTAAAAATAAATAACCAAATACATGTTACAAGTTTAACTTCATAGTGGTGTGAGTGTAGATTTAATAGATGGCAATACAATTCTAACCACTGCTTTGACGTTACTTGACAGTATTACTGAATGATTTTCAAATTATTTACCTCATTTTGTTAAGCAAGAAAAACGCTCAATGCAGCTAAGGGAAAAAAAAAAACATTTAGATTTATCTGTTATTCTTTAAATTTAATCTATTAAAATTGGTTCTAGTGTTTTATCTCGGTATTCAGTTTTAAATGTATTTATTGCTTCTTGAACGGTTTTAAAATTGACAGCCTTTACGTCATCATCTATTTTGTTGGATTGATTGCCAGGTACACAGTCTGAAATAAAATGTTTTGTAAATTAAAAATATGTTATGTTAATAAACAACGTAAAGGATTTTTAAGCTATTGCACAGCTTTTATCGCGGGCCTTGAGCGCGGCGACCGAATCTTGAAATTCCGTAACGAAAAAAACCTAACACCCCTCACTCCGCCTATCATGTAGCTCGCGTTCAACACATTTACACGTTGCGCTTGTGTAGTGTTCGTGAATAAGTGCGTGGCGGGACGTCACACTGCATGCGCATCATGAAAAGTCTGCCCATCTCTCTCTCGCGCGGTCTAGCTTATGAGTGTGAAGGGGACAGTTAATGTTTTGCTGTTATTAATGTTTAATATAGCGTGGTCTTGTTTTATTATTGTTTTAATATTAAATTATCATGGTCTAATTATAATTGCATAAGTTGATAAAAAAATGCTATGCAATAGCTTTACCGCGGCAGTTCCAGTGTTTTTATTTATTGCTTAGATGGGTGGACGAGCTCACAGCCCACCTGGTTTTAAGTGGTTACTGGAGCCCGTAGACATCTATGATGTAAATGCGCCACCCACCTTGAGATATAAGTTCTAAGGTCTCAGTACAGTTACAACGGCTGCCCCACCCTTCAAACCGAAACGCATTACTGCTTCAAGGCAGAAATAGGGAGGGTGGTGGTACCTGCCCGTGCGGACTCACAAAAAATCTTTCCGCCAGCTATTACGCAAATTATAATTTTGCGGAATTGATTTTTATTACACGATGCTATTCCTTCACTGTGAAAGTCAATCGTAAAAATTTGTTAAGTATGTATTTCATTAGAAAAATTGGTATCGCCTGCGGGATCCTAACATCGTTGCATCACCAGATACGAATGCTCCGGACGTCTTATCCTTTAGGTCACGACTACTTCGAATCGAATAAACAAATACATAATTGCATTTGAAGCAGTGAAATAAAGTCAACCTGCTTTTTGACAAAATAGAAAGTTAGTATCTTTCACATTGCAGAATAGCTAAAAGTTGACAGTTTACAAAACAGTTTTAACCCTTTTCAATAGTCAAAGCTAAAAGAAGTCATTGAGAGAAACCCAATGATGTTCTCCTTTTTTTTTCACTACTAGATATGTGATGAAACCAAACTTTTTTTGAAAAGATTGGTCACTGTTGATAAAAAGTAGAATAAGATAATTTATGACAACGACATACATCATGAGCGAAGTGCAGTCATGCTTCACAAACTATAGTGAAATTAACATTGACTTGCATTAAGATGGTGCTGTGTATGGTAGTATTGGAACCATAGGGCAGAGCCTTTCATTCAGATCTCTACAATCTAATGGACTAAAAACTACTAAAATAACTGAAAAGATGGCTAGAGTTGATTAGCAGAAGGGTTGTGGTTTTTCATCGTAATATTGCCTGACCATACAGATTTTTGACTACTTAGCAAATGTGAACTTGTTTGGAAAGTGTTAATGCATTTGCCAAATAGTGCTCACCTTACACCCACAGATTTTTCACCTGGTTTGGTCCTTGTTTTTGTTTAATTTGTCTAAATATAAAATATGAAAAACATTATTTAAACAAACAAAAATTATTCACTACAAATTCGGCACACACTCATAATAAAGGATAGTGATCAGTGGTATTTGCACTCAACCATTTAAATACTATTGCCACTTCATTCATAAATCATCGTCAAACTTGCAAGTTCACATTTTTTGTACAAAATATAACTGGTAATAGCTTAATTATGAAATAGTTTTATATATACTAAATATTATGTCTTTGCCTTTTCAATAATTTATCTTTGATATATAATTGACCTTTACTAATGGTAATTTTATCCTTGTAGGTATTAAATTTTGTTAATACTCAAATAATGATTTCATTACCTTCACCCTCCTTAGGAGACACATAAGCATGTTGCATCTGTATACATTTTCTTGTTTTGCAAACGTATTTTAAATTTTTTTCAGACAATCTATCAAACAGTGGGTCATCAGTATTCGGTGATGGATCTTCTTCAAAAAACAAATATGTACCAAAAGGGTTGTCATACTTTCCTGAAAGCATAATTAAGCACATGAGCAGTTTTAACCTATAGCTGATTGTAATGGTTTTGCTTTATTATATTCTAATCACTAAAACAAGTGGTTTCAAATGTTACATGACTAAGTTAAAAAAATAATTTTTTTTTATAACCCTAACATTATAACTAGACTTAAATTGCCACATTTATACTATTTTGTTTTAAGAAGACACTTATTAATTCTATTCATGCCTCTAAGAACCTAAATAGAACTAAAACCTAAACAGAATACAAGTATAACTGAATAATTTAGAAGAAAGAAATGAACTTTTACTGACTTTAAAACTTGGTGTAAGTTGTATTAATTATAAATTAATAAACATTCAACCCTATTATTCCTCTTTGGAATAATTTAACCACATACAGCCATTCAAGCCAGTAAATAAATTATTGCAGAAACCCATTGGAGACTTTTGGTCTTTTCCAGTATTGACAATACAAACTAATTTCTAAAAAAAATTGGTTGAATATTTTACATTTTCGTATCAAGCATTAAAGTCCCTAGATATGAATCTCAGGCATAAAGTTGGGTTGAAATTTTATGCACTGCTTTATACTGCTCTCTCAGAACCTGTGCTTTGAAATCAGCAACTTTTCGGTATATTCATGAAATGTTATTAATGTGATTCAAATATCTTACCAATATAGAAAGTATCATCCATTTGTACAATTGGATTTTTACTATCAATACCCAATATGTGAATATTTCTGTATTTTTCGATATTAACACTGTCCTTGAATTCAAGATACACCAAAATTTCTTCCTCACAATCATCTAGTGCATCATTTTCCATTTTAAGTTTTATGAAACTAAAACAAACTAAACCTTGTCCAAGTTTCAAGTTTTCAACCATTTAATTATTTTTTTTAAGCGATTTTATGACCTGGTAACTAAGACTTTTAGGTCGTCTTATTTTAATTTATATTTTTATTTTTATGAAAAATGATAATATGGAGTGAAATGAAATGAAGATGACTAATTTGAGACATTAATAAATTGAGATGAAATAAAATAAAATGAGATGAAATGATATGGGATCAAATTTTATCTCAGCAAAATGGTGGTAATTTACTGAGACTTTTTCAATGAACTATTTGTAGGATCCCGAGAAGTTACGTCCAGCGGCTTTGTTTCATTTTACCACATTTGTGCACTTTCACAGATATTAAACAGTTAATAAACCACCGTTATTACACATTTAAACCTGAAGAAACACTAACTAGACAAGACCTTTGCCCCTCTCACTTCGCACCTCCTTTTGCGTTATGGTGGAATACTCACTCAGAAGACGAAGATAACCTTCCATTATTCCCTTTCATCTAACCCAACAGCACATAAGATTATAGTTGAATAAGTGCCTTTTCTCCTTGCTACAATCATGACGGTTGCCATATACCTAAGGTGCTTTCTAATCTCACCTCATTGTTTTTTTTTCATTATGCTGCTCTAACAAAAGCAGCGCTTCACCGAATTTACCAATCTACCATCAAGATCGAGACCCACTGAGAACGAAGAACCATTCGTCGGATTCGACAGGTTCACTGAGAACGGTCACCGGTTACAACAAAAATTACTTCGGTTCTTTTCACAAGATATGGCTTTTGGGATATAAGGGCTTTGTTCCTTCGGAACGAACAAGGAACCCACACCATAGATTATACACTTAACCCACAACCAAGTGTATAATCTATGCACAACCAGTCCACGAAAAGAAAATCTCTAACCTGAGTCAGGTTATTAACGTTTAAAACCAATAATAATACTCTTGTTTTGTTTTATCATACCAGTGATCTACGTTGAACATGTCTGACTGGGATACAGTTACAATTCTTCGCAAGAAACCACCAAAAGCTTCTGCTTTAAAAACTGAACAAGCTGTAAATGCAGCGCGGCGACAAGGTATTCCGGTTGATACGCAACAAAAATATGGGGCTGGAACTAATAAACAACATGTTACTACTAAAAATACAGCTAAACTAGACAGAGAAACAGAAGAATTACGCCATGAAAAAATACCACTTGATCTGGGGAAACTTATAATGCAAGGCAGACAAGCTAAAGGAATGAGTCAAAAAGACCTCGCCACTAAAATTTGTGAAAAACCACAGATTGTAAATGATTATGAAGCTGGTCGTGGCATTCCAAATAACATTGTTCTTGGAAAAATTGAAAGGGCAATTG